ATGGGATGGAAAGGCACTGATCAGACGTACATGCAACCCAACCTCCCAGAGTTGTCTTCAGACATAGCAGAGAGCTTCCACAGAAGGAAAAGAAGTCCCTGGTGTCAGGAGTGTTTGCTCTCACACCAGACTAAGAGCCGCCCAGGAACCACCTTCCCGTCTGTGGGCTCATCCCTGCGCCATACCTGCCACGGCCTTCTCTGCATCTGTGAGGGCTTTGTCTGCCTGCAGGATGGCTTCCTCCACTTCTGCTTGGGACTGCAGGAAGCTCTGCAGGACCTCGTTTGCCTGAGGAAGCAGCAAGAAGCAAGTAGTTGTCAGGCAGCCAAGTCTATTGCAGGGGAAATTTTTGTTCAGTAAAACTACAGATTGGACCCCATTAAATCTTCATTTTTCAAATTACCCCACAGTTTTACAGATGTCAGAATCATGTGCAGCTCTACAACCATCCTCCATTGTCTTCAACTGCATTCCCTGCGGATCGTTTTCCTTCTGAATAATGTTCATCTAATCTTTCTTTATTATAAATCCATTTTTTTTAACTTTAACTTGTAGCTTCTATCTCCTCTTTCAGGCAGCTTTCCTGAGCTCTCTTCTGAGCTCTGAATTCCTGCTGAGAACATGCCGCTGACCCACCAGCTCCACCACTCGAAGGCTGTGTGATCTCAGGCAACTTTCATTTTCATGCAGCATTTTCTCAATTTCATAATGAGGATGGCAGCAGTACCAAATCATTGCTCTGATTACTAAATTGATTGTCTAGGCAATTCAGCAAAGCAGAAGGACCCTGAGATCACCTCCTCTCACAGGGCAACCAAAACACAAGTATTTGCAGAACAACCATACACACACACACACACACACAAACAGAATCTATCAGAAAATATCTGCTATAACTGAAAGCACAAAGAAGAAACCACAAGCATTTGTAGCGTAGACAAATCCCTTCCCCCGAGTGGGTTATTTATAACTGGGAGAATAATGAGACCTGCAGACCTTCTCCCAGATAAGCGTGGGGTCTAAACCCCAACTGGGCTCCCCAGTAACATCTCTAGCCCCAGGAAGACCACAGAGGGTAGGCCAGTGGAGCTCTCTTCCAGAAGTCCCAGAAGGATAACAGAAATAACGACTGCTCTCTTTTGTTTGCTTGTATAATGCTTTTTTTCTGATTGGTAACAGGGTTTTCAAAATGTTTTACTCAATTATTTATTTTTGAGGCGTATCATTGGGTTTATTTATTTATTTATCTTTTGAGGAGGTAATGGGGATCGAACTCAGGACCTTGTGAAGGCTAAGCATGTGCTCCACCGCTTGAGCTCTATCCTCTTCCCCTTGAGCTGTATCTTTCTCCCAGGACTCTACCCTTAAAGGGTGCACACAGAACCTCACACGGGCCTGGACCCAGGACCTGGGACCCAGGGCAAAAGCGGTAATTTGAGGAACCTGGGGCAGACTACCTGCTGACTCTGGAGAGTGTCCTAGAGAGGCAGAAGGCACCTGCAGCTCACCCTGGGGACAGGGACACTGGTGGTCCCAATTTGGGGGAGCTCCTCTTACCTTGTGGACGTGGTGCTGGCAATCACCATTTTGGAATGTTCTCGCTAGCTTTTTAGCCCCAAGACCCAGCACCACACTGACCCAATTGTCTGCAGGTGACCGTGCTGGGACTCCCAAGGGCAAGCACCTAGCTCAGCATGGACACAGCCCCAGCCATCAGCAGACAGGCTACCTTAGGACCTCCTGAGCCCACAGCCACCTCTACACGGGATCCTGAACAAGCCCCTCACACCAGCATACAAGCACTAGACCTCAAGCCCCCAGAGCACTGCCCTCCAGGCAGAGACCTCGGGCCCAGCTCCACCCACTAGTGGGAAGACACCAGCCATTTAAAGCCTTAGTCCTATACCCCACAGACCCAGCCCCCCACTAGCAGGCCAGATTCTGCAAGACAACCAGCTGGGCTCGGGCTCTGCTCAACGGGCAGTTCAAAGCAAGCTTCAAGACACCCCTAGACTCAGCAACCAACTGTGTGAGTAACAGGGTATCCCCAACAGTGACCCTGGCACCCTGCGTCCTGCACCCAGACCCCAGGACCTGGCTTTGCCCTCCAAGTTAGCTGGCAGTAGCTCTGGGACCTGGCCTCACCCACCAGTGAGTGGCGAACATCTCAGTGTCTCCTGGAACCTTACTCCCCTCACCAGTAACCCAGCACTAAAGCCCCCCCGGGCTCCACAGTCAGCCTCCTGGTGACCTGGTTCCAAGCAGCAGATAGTGGCCTCTGCACAAGGCAGGACCTGGCAACCACATGAATCAACACAGCCCCTCTGACTCCAATCTGCTGTTCTTTTCTCACCCCCTTACTCCTCACCTTGACTCCTTTCCTGGGCAGCAGCTTATAGTTCTGTTCAACCTTGTCCCTTGCTTCTAAGTAGAGCTTGTGTCCTCCAGGAGCAAAGAAAGTTCGTTCCATAAGACCTTCCATCAAGGGCTCTGAAAGCTTCTGAAGCTCAGCCTGACAGTATTTGACAGAGGCCTCTTCATTCTGCACCAAGAATTCTTCCCTCTTTTTCTGGATGGTGCCCTGCCAGGGAAATGTGGGGAAATCTGATAGAAAGAAGCTGTTAGAAGGGAAACTCCAACTGTGTTCCTTTAGAAGAAACAGTCTGACAGCATCAGGGTGCAGGAGACACAGAGTAATAGACATGGAGTCAGGAGACTAGTTCTAGCCCCAGTTCTGACCAGACTCTCTGTGTGCCTTGTGGGAAGTCTCTGAAACCCTGTGGGCTCAGACTCCACACCTGTGAAATGATGGGGTTGGCAGGTGTGATGTCCATGATTCCCTTAACTGTAATAGGACTAACAGTCAGCCATTCACCCACAACAGTAATGAAATTTTCATTATGAATGGAAGTAGAGTTTCTTCTGCAAACTTGGGAGCTATGGATAAAAACATATACTTAGCAATTCACTTGCCTATTAATGAATTAACAACACACTATCCAGAGTTCTGAACTCTTCATGGATTCTCTTTTCATTGAGGATTTGAGTTTGTGAAAATATAAGAACAGGCTTTTTTTGCATAAACTTATTAATTACAATTGAGCTGGCTTTGCTCTATGTGAACTAAGATATTTGTAACTTGTAGGATGGTCAAAAGTCAAACTTTCAGTAAAGGTGCCTATGGCAAGGAGAATTGTGATCTCCATGGGTTGTCCCCACTGATGTCCACACTCTGCAGAGTCCCCGGACCTGTGAATACAATGAACACTCATCCCGTGTTTGAATTATGTTACACGGCACAGGTGACTCTATGAAATGGAGATTACCCAAGTGGGCATTACCTAATCACAGGCCCTTTCAAAGGTGTTTTCTCCTGTTAGTAGCAGAAGAGATAGTCAGAGAGATCAGAATAAAGAGGCGGATGCAATGCACCATGGCTGGGTGGAAGACGGAGTGCTGTTCCCCGCAGCCTCCATGTGAGGACCAAGCCCATGTGAACCTCATCTCCAGCCACAGTGCACTGAGACCACCCACATGCCCTGGGCTGGGAGCTGACCTGAAGGAGCGGAAGCCACTAAATATGTGTTGTTTTAGGCTGCTAAACACAGGATAATTCGTTTTCCAGAGTCAAAAATAAAAAGCCCATCTTTTAGAAAAAAGATGGACTGTAGCCCACAGAGGCTTGTCAGTCATAAGAATCTAAATTTATTTTATGATGAGTAGCATATGAACCATGGGGACAATAGAGGGAGTCTAGGATCATTCCAGAAGAATAGAATGAGGACGGAGACCTTCTAAGGCACGTTACCACAAGCTTCTTCTGGAACTCCCGCTTGTCATCCTTGAAGGAGTGCTCCATGAAGACTGCGATGGCTTCCCTCTCGCAGGCCACGTGCACCTCCAGCAGCCCCTGCAGCGTGTCCGTGGGGAGGCTCAGGTGCTGGGCCATCTGCTCGCTGTAGTGGGCGGCTGCCTTCTCCACGGCCACTGAGTTCTCACGCTCCGCCAGAGTCATCACTGCATTCTCCAAACAAGGAACTGCCCCACTGTTGATGGTGTCCACGTAGGTCATCACCAGCGTCCCCAGCCCTAAGGGACACAGGATATTTAGGGCAGCAGAGACAGCTCTTACCTGTTTTGGTTTTTTTAACGTTAGAGATCAGCATTCTAAAAATCACTAGGCTTTGACTGAATTTAATTTTCCTCCGCTTTCTCCTCATCTTCATCTTGTCTTCATCCTTGTCTCCTCCTCCTTTGTCTTCCATGAATCCCCTTCTTTATTAAATCACTGTGTCTCCTAGTCACTCCATCTTATGATTCTCAAATACATCACATTATAATATTAAGAGAATGATCTCGAACAATATGTTCAAGGGTCTCCAAGTACACTTTTCCCAGTGTAATAAAATAAAAAGAACTAATTACACCTGTACATAAGGTACACAGTTGGTGGGCGCTATTTGTAATGAAAGTGTGGTCCCCATGTAAAAGTGTCATCAAGAATTTCAGGACAGTGGCAGAAATACTAAACCAAGCGAGGCCCATCTCAGAACAGGGCCCCGTATGACTGCCCGGGGGCACGTGCATGAAGCCAGCACCAGACGTGAGACTGAGTTTATGTGTGTCTCCCACTCAGTGAGTCTACATGGCTCATGACCTGGTATTTTTTTCTCATTCATGCAAATTCACAGAACATCTTGCGTATATTCATTAACAATACTTATCCCATCAGATGTCACTTCAACGTGCATTTTTCCTTCCTTATCAGGAGCCTGTCCTTATACTATTAGTGTAATAGTATTATGAGATTTGATACGCTTCAACAACACTTATGTAGGAAAATTTTAATGAAGAAGCATCATTTCTGTGTGTGGCATGAACAACTGCTTTTCCACATTACATACAGAAGAAAACACAATTGCTGACAAAACCACAGTGTGCTCACAGCTCCGTCACACACACTGACCCACGGAGGGACAGGCTGCAACGAGAGACTCACCTCCCCCAGTGACCGTGATCCCCTCTCCTAGGGTCTTGGGTTTTGCATGAGTGAAGACATAAGAACAGAATGCTTTGCATTGCATCTGAAAACTCCCATCCAGTTGGTCATCTGGCACGTCCTCAATATGGACTAGTAGTTTTCTGTCACTGACAGGCCGGTCAAAGACAAAGCACTTCCATTTTGGAAAGAAACTCCTGATCATCTCTCTGGGCAGGTTGGAATTTTGGATTTGGGGATCCTCGCCTGCAGAAGTGCAGAAAGAGCAAACACTGAAGGAACAGCCTTCAGGTCAGGGGGGGTGACGACTTTCATTTCCAGGGAGCTTTGCATCCCTGTAGCTCCCCTGCCTGTAAATCTCCTTTTATTCAGTCATGTAAATCAACTTTATACCAATCAACCCAGGGCATGGAAACCTCCCTCCCTGTATTTTATTTTGTTTTATTTTGGTTTAGGTACAGAGCTAAGAGTGTATGAAGTACTTCTGAACAAGACGGGGAGGCATCTGTTCCAAATGAAGAAACTTATGATTATTTTCCTCAGCTCTTCCATGATGTGCAGCAGTGGATCAACTCGTTATTAGATGTTTCTTCAATGATACATTAATCCCAAAACTTGTCAGAAATATTTTTCTGAAATGACATTCTCCAAGACAGAAAGGAAATGTGGGTGGTAAAGTACCATCATGGTCAGGATATTTATGACCTTGCTGGGAAGATCACATGTGGAGAGCAAATAATACTTCGGACAGTAAATGAACAGCTTTATAAGATCAGAGTCAAAAAATACACATTCTATAAATATATTTGGAAGTGGCTTCAGTGTCCACCATCTCATGGTAAGATTTGCTTACATCCAGCTTGGACATCAGCAGTCTTCTGCATCCTTTTATATTGGACGTAACAGTATCATACAGAGTATATCTGGGCATATGACAGCAGTTCAACATGTATTTATTGAAAGGATGAATAAATGATTAAATAAACTAAATGAATATTGCTTTTAGGTACCACCATTATCCTCTCTGCTAAATATTAGCTGACTAATTCATTTATTATATCATGTGTCAGGCAAGGCTGTAGAATAAAGTGTGATGTTATGAGAAATAGGAAATGAGGCATCAGACAGTCTTCCTGGAAGAACATGGCTCTGCTTTGTTTCTGAACTCGTTACTGTGCAAACAGCCTTTCTTTGAGGGGTGTAAGTATCTGGGCAAGTACAATGTACGAGGTGAAGTGTATTTCAAAGATTAGTTCTTGGGTTTACCTTGTGATTCTGTGTTTACCAATTTCTGTATTGATAAGTATTTTTCTCAGGAAAGGAGAC